CACAATTTCACTGTGTGTGTTTTTCACTGACATTTACAGCAGAAGCCCCTATTTCACTGCCATTGAGAGAATGAAAGTACTCCATTTCTCTCTCTCTATCTCTCTCTATCTCTCTCTCTCTCACACACACTTACACACTGTGGCCTATTTGACCTGCTGGCGTGACTTTTCTTCTCCTCTCGGCTGTTTTACAAAGTTGCTTCTCGATACAGAAACGAGCACTTGCCTGCAGTTTTCTCCACCGTGTATATCATGGATCACCTGTGATCGCTGCTGCCGCTTATCAGTGTCACTCATCTGTGAAGAGCGCAGCGCGCAAGAACCAATCGCAACCATTTTTGTTGAGGGTGTGACCAATCAAAGGGGTGTAAGGGAACTAGGCAAGGATCAGACAGCAAGCTGGATATTTGTATTTGTTTATATTATTTGCTAAATGCTCGTGTTGTTTGAAGGTACAGTTTATATAGCTGATTGTTTGTATTAAATGACAAAATTGTATTACAAATAATATATAAATATAAATAAATACATACATTTTAATACAAGAATTGCTGCTGTGAAGAAAATATAAAACTGTGTATGAAAAGCACAGTCAATGCACCGTGATGCAACGAGAGATTGAATTGAGTCGAATTGATGGCATGATAATTGTAACCAAACCACGAGAGTGTAGATTCACAGCTCTATTTTAGAGCAGTAATCATCAGAGATGGGGGACTCAAGTCACATGACTTGATTCAAGTCAGACTTAAGTTGCAAAATGTAGGAATTGAGATTTGCTTGGCAAATATCCAAAAAAGACTCGACTTGACTGTCATGACTTGAGACTTGACTTTGATTTGAGTTAAATGACTCGAAGTTGCTTGTTTTTGTTAAATAAATAACTCTTTGCTTTAAAGTATGCATGACATACAAAAGCGAAAGTTATAAACATAAATTGCAAAAGTTCAAAAATCTACAAAAATTTGATTGACTTGAAAGTAACTTGCTAGACCAAGCTACTAAATGACTTGACTTGACTTGAGATAAGCAGTCACTCAACTTGACTTGAGTCTGACAAAAATTGACTTGACTTGCTTGAGACTTGAAGGTTATGATGACTCGAAACTTGCTTGTGACTTGGACGTGTGTGACTTACTTTCCCCTCTGGTAATCACAATATTGTGATACCATAAAATTTTTATCCAAGGTTATTATACCGTCATAATCTTATACTGGCCCATGCCTAGTTGTAATTGGTCGACTGCGTTAAGGGCGAGACTGTAAGAGATGGCCATCATGACTTATCAACATTGTGGAAATATATTGCTCTATTCTTAACCATAATTCAAAACAGTGACACACATTCAGTATTATTCCACACAGTGGCAAAAGCTAAACTATTTTGAAACTTAACCACCGCACATGTGTGGGAACAGCTGATGGTGGCCAGAGCAATAACAACTGGCAGGGCATCGTGATCTCACAAACACATTTAAATCGGTAAAAAAAGCACCGCTACACATTGTCAACTTGACTTTAAATGCGATATGAGAAAATAAAGAGTTAACCAGATATAGTACAAGTCACCCGAAGCAATTACAAGTAACAAAATACAATTAAATACATATTTTGCAACCATTATTTTCACACTTACAGTGTGAGACCCGAAGGATGGAGAAACTGGTTCATGAACTGTGTACTGACAAAGTACCATACATTAATAGTATTTGCTGATGCTTTCTTTAACAAACGGATGGCAAATCCCCTGTTGCAGGGGAGGTTATTGTTTTAATCATCAGAATGTTCATTTATAAATAATTACACTTATCTTCAGTCATGATCAAACCTGCACTCTGCTAGCATTTGGAAAGGCACATTCATGTTTTACCGGATCCGGCACTTCATACATGGTATTGTTTTGTCTCTATATCTATACAAACAGGCAAAAGATTTGGACCAAAGACGAATCATATAAACGGCTCTGACTCTTTTTAAAAATTTTTAACTTTATTTATTTATTTATTTATTTATTTATTTATTTATTTATTTATTTATTTATTTATTTATTCATTTGTTAGTTTGTTTATTTTTATTTTTTTTTATTATAAATTGTTTAAATCTGCACTTTAAGATTTAAACCTCAGTTGGATGTTTTCACTCACTTAATGCTGTGTTGTACACTCTATAGAAGGTCATTTACAAAAACCCATAATGGGGGCTCTTTAAGCAGATGGACCAAGTTTTTAAAAAACTTTAACCTTTAACATTAACCTTTAGGTTAAATCTGTTGTTTAAGGCAATGCTATGCTATAAATACAGTAAAATAGCAATAGTTTGAGAAATAATATATACTTAAAATACAACTTTAATATATTCAAATGAAAACGTTTTAAGTTTTAAGTGTTCGCAAAAATTTAATATTACTATTGTTCTTTTTGTTGTTATTTTTGTTTATGACAGTTGTCACTTGTGACACTTTTGCCTGAAATATGTTCTTTTAAAGGATTTTATGATAAAGTTATTGATATCATAATTGCCTTTACTTTGGACCTTTTTGGTAAAACTTATGCATCCTAATAGTAAAAGCAATGAAATATTAATAAAAAAAAATGCATTCAATGCGATTTTATTTGTTAATATTAGATAAATGTATTAGATATATTAGATATATAAATATATTAAATAAATGCATTAGTTAGCATGAATTAATGATAAACAATATTTCAAACTTGTAATAATCTTATTTTATGCATTAACTAATGTTAGCTAGTGAGGCCTTATTTTAAGTGTTACCAATAACTAGGGCCAGACAGAATCTGTGGACATTTTTTGCTATATTTGCTTGAATATCGTAACTAAAAGCTTCATATAGAAAATAAAAAATAATACTCTATTTAAAAAAGAATGTGTTTAATGTTTACAATGCAAATCCAATTAGATCCACTTATTTGTTAAACAAAGCAAGTCTCTTATATAATATATCTACTAAAATACAGAACATATTACTTTGCAAACTGTATTGTTAATAAATCAATTGAGCATTTTCCAATTAGTCAATAATGTTGCTGAAATTAATTTAAAAACTGTATAAATTAAAATTTACACACATTTACACAAATAAATAGATTTAATAATGGCCTAAAAATCGGCTTCCAACTGCTTGCTTTGACCATAATAGAAGGTAGTTTTTCAACATTATTAAAAAAAAAGAAGTTTTTGTTTTGATCTAGACACTGCTCCAGTTTTATCACAGCTCATCGAGTGTTTTATAGTTCGCTTGTTTGTTGATAATGTACCACTGAGATCACTGATGCAGCTTCGTTTAGTTTCCGGTGCTTGTTTTTAGAGACGTCGGTGTGAAATGCCTGACCGACTAAACAGCTCCGACTGGACGCTCTCTGTTCATTGTTCTAATTACAACAAGCATAGTTTTGGGCCCCCTATGTTTTGCTTACCGATTGTGTGTCATTGTGTGCGCGGCCTCTGCTCCACAATGGAACGTCCCGAATGTTGTCTTGAGGGCTTTTGTTGTCCAGTGGGCTCACACGAAGACCGAGAGGCCATCCGACATGAGAAAACCCCACCGGATGATGTTGATGTTCTTTCATTTGATGACTCTGTAATGTTTTCTGCATTAGTACGCACTGGTGGTGTTTCCATACTGGAATTTCAAACTTCGATAAGAGATAGAAAAGGAATCACCCGGAAATTAACATTTACTAAACTGCTAGTGGTTCCAAACCTACTTTCTTTGGTTGAACATATAAGAAGCTATTTTGAAGACAGCTGAAAACCTGTATTAATCCATAGCAGGAAAAAACAAATACTATTAAAATCAGTGGTTACCGGTTTCCAGCTTTCTTCAGAATATATAATAGAATTAAGATACTTATATATATTTATAGTTTCAAAACGAACTATAATATAAAACATGTTACAGTGTGTGTGGCATTATACCATACAGTCATGCACAGGAAGGATTAAACCGTGACAAAACCAATTAGAGAGTGTAGTCATTTCAACTGTCACTCACTGACAGAGATAGAAACATCATGCCTTGTCTTGCATTCAAAAAATACTTCTTATTTATTATTATGATCGTAAAAGATGTGAATTAGCCTGTAGGTTTTAGAAAATATATTTATACTTATTCCATTTAATTAGAAAAGTGGCAGTTTTATTTATTTAATACATGGAAACAAAAAGAATGTACTTGAATTTAGAAAGTGTTTTTTACCACAGTAAATAGGTGTGTTGTGTCTATTTGGCTCATTCAGAACTTACATAGCTATGCCTGTCTATACAATACAGTGGAATGCTGCTAGTTTAGCATACAACCCTACCATATTAGACAAACATTTTTAAGTTTACTACTTTTAAATTATTACTTGTATGTTATTACTTGTACTTGTAAATGTAATATTAGGTTTATATACAGTTGAAGTCAGAATTATTAGCCCCCCTGTTTATTTTTTCCCCCAATTTCTGTTTAATGGAGAGAAGATTGTTTCAGCACATTTCTAAGCATAATAGTTTTAGAAATGTATTTCTAATAACTGATTTATTTTATCTTTGCCAAGATGACAGTAAATAATATTTGACTATATATTTTTCAAGACACTTCTATACAGCTTAAAGTGACATTTAAAGGCTTAACTAGGTTAATTAAGTCAACTACGCAGGTTAGGGTAATTAGGCAATTATTTGTATAGAGATTCTTTGTTCTGTAGACTATCGAAAAAAATTAGCCTAAAGGGGCTAATAATTTTGTGCCAAAAATGGTTCATAAAATATTAAAAACTGCTTTTATTTTAGCCAAAATAAAAAAATAAGAATTTCTCCTGAAGAAAAAATAATATCAGACACATTGAGAAAAAATTTCCTTGTTCTGTTAAACATTTAAGTATTAAATATTTAAGAACGGAAGAAAAAAAAAAATCGGACTTCAACTGTGTATATACTTATATTTACCGCCTCTGCCTACACAAATGAATGTTTCCTATTCTTTTGTATCCTAGAATTGAAGCGCATTGTGCAGTTGGATCTGGATCTAAAATTTAGAAGCAATATCAGAGACCTTTTCCAAGAGTTCAACCATTTCCCTTCGGACGCCGTCATTGGGATTGCACGTGAAATGCAGCCAGTTTACAGGTATCTGATTCAACTATGTGTACAGTTCATTAATTCTGCTCACTGTTTACACATTTATGTCATCAACAAATCTGGTGCATTCATACAAAAAATCTTATAATGTCATATTTATTAGTATCATATCGGTTATTGGTTGATTTTTATTATTATTATTTATCTGTACTAGCCCATATTCTATATTTAACTGTACAATATGCAAATTTTATATATTTATACCTAAAGATGGTCTTCGCAGTCATTGAACATTGAATCATTGAAGATTCATCGTTTTCTGTAAGTCAATGTAGCATACTGTAGATCAGATGGCTGAAACTCAATCCTGGAGGGCCGGTGTCCTGCAGATTTTAGCTCCAACCCCAAAATCAGACACACCTAGGCTAGCTTATCAAGCTTTCACTAGGCTTTCTAGAAACATCCTGACAGGTGTGTTAGAGCAAGTTCGAGCTAAAATCTGCGGGACACTGGACCTAGATTATAGTTGTAATTCCACCTAAATTAAAAGTTGACTGCAAAATCATAGCTTGTTTTTATGCTCTCATTTAATATTTATAGATTCATCTAGATTTATTTAATTTATCAAAATAAAAATGTATAAATGGTAACACATTTTACCAAGTGTCTTGGTTAACATAAATAAGCGCATTTCCTTCCATTGACCAACAATGAGCAATACATTTGTTACTCTGTTAGTTATTAGTAAATCATTTTTGATGTTGCTAAAATGTAGTAAAACATTCATAAAAACATAAGAAAACTAGGGATGCACCGATCCCGATACTTGGATCGGATATCGGTTCGATACCGCTTATTTTTGCTGGATGGGTATCAGCCAGCTGGTACCCATCCAGATCAGATCTTGTGCATGCACTATATTCTTTGTAATTTTGAAGCCAACAAAAACCATGAGGATAGCCTATTATAAGGCACGAGAAAGTTGTCATGTAGGCCTACTATTTCCCGAATGTTCTGAAGCCATTCCAAAGTTTAATATGAAGCACAGAGGAATATTCAAGTGGTTAAATTCATGTTCAGTTTAATGCTTCCCGTCGTTCAGCGCATTTTCTCTTCACACATTCACAATTCAAACTGTCGTGTTCATGACAACACGAAAAACTTTCTCCAAGACTATTTGTTACTACTAATAATAGTAATAATACATTTTATTTAAAGGCGCCTTTCTAGCAACTCAAGGACACCGTACAATAAACAAGAGCAATAAAACAACAAGAGAAATTATAAAATATACACAACAATAGTAAAATCAGTTCAACTGTAATGTTGATCATTGAACGATATTTAAAAGTTAAAAAAGTTTAAAAGTTTTACCGGTCAGCAGCAGCTACAGATCATGCCAGCGTTCATTCAGACTGGAATTAATTTTACTGTTAATATTAATAATCAGAGGAGAAATGTATTTAGTTTTGAAGTAAATGGGTTCATTTTGAACTGCAGCAAGGAGTTCATTGCTGTTTCTAAATCATGTTGCGCTGTGTGTGTTAGATTGGCAGATCGCATTCGCAACACTGGAGTAGAGATGGTTATCACCTGCTCTTCACACACAAAGTAGGCCTACATGAAACTTTAAATTAGAAAAGGCTCAATAATACATTGGACAGATCCTCAAGACGCTGCATGCGCCATTCCGTAAAATTATTCTCACAATAAGTTTCTGATCTCTCATCCTTCCGACTAAGTTCATTCTTCCAAGAGATATAATTTTAGTGCTGTGATTAGTTTGTAAAGCCTGGCTCAATTTTGGCCAAAGTAGTTGATTTAAATTAATAAAAGCGAAACTGAAGGGCGCAACATGGATATTCATTAACAAAAAATTATTTAGCCTAATATAGGCTACTCTGAAACCTATTTTATTTTTTATTAATATTTTATTTATCAGATATGTTTGTCAGTTTTGTGCATTAAAGCATATAAGTGGACCTTGTTTTAAACTTCACCTCAAATCTTCGTTTATTTTGTAGATAACTGAACAACAACAAATACATTAAAATAACCAACAAATTATTCCAAATGAAATTAGTTTCAAATGAATCTTTTTTAAGCCATGCTTTCAGTTTCTTACTCGTCTTACTCTACTTTCAGTTTCTTACTGGACTTTCAGTTTCTTACTCGTCTTACTCGTGACGAGTTTAGGCGAGGTAATGTTTATTAAGTAAAACTGGCCTCAGACGATTTTGTTTAGTCTGCATCAAACCTGCAGGAAAATATCAGGCTTTGCTAAAAGGCTGGTTATTTTACCAACAGTCAGGGGTCAATAGTGGTAGCCTATTGCAGATATCAAAAACAATTCTTGATATTAAAAAAGGAAGCATAAGCTGGACCACAACAGATCAATGTCATATCGAATGCTCAAATAATGCAGCCTGTAGTTTATAGCAAGCATAATGTTGTAAGTTAGTCATCTGTCATGTACAGTAGACCTATAGGTCTGTTATTTTTTTTACTAAAGAAGATATATTATTTGAGTTTATCACAACAACTATAGAAACTGTTTTATGTTTAAAAAAAAAAAACAGCACAGTATTGGGATTGGATCTGTATCGTCGATACTCAGAATTTTGGTATCAAGATCAGATCGGTTCCAAAAAAATGGTATCGGTGCATCCTTAATGAAAACATTGTTAGCTCAGCTTTATTAACTAAGACATAAATACTTAGAAATAAATGTATTTTTTTTATAAATTAATACACTTACTGTAATGTTAAGAAATCCTATTTTAAAATCTCACTATTTTTAGTCTTGATCAACAATCATAAGACCATTTTGTGTTTATTAAGTGTAAACATGATAGTTCACGATCATTTTGTACCATGGTAGATATCAAAATGTCATGGTATTACCATCACAGCACTATAATCTGTACTATATCTCAAACCTGCAAAAGAAATGCAGTTCCCTCTGAGTTTAGCACAAAAAGCAGCTCTAGCTCTAGTCCTACTGTACAAATTGATCGAAACACCTCTTCCAAAACCTGAAAGAAACTTTTGGACGAGCTGTCCTCCTGCTTGACATGGCAAACCGATCGCGCTGTTGAAAATGTTCAATGCTGTCTGTCTTTTAGCCTGGCAGAGTCAAGCCGGGCACGTAACTGGGACACATTTGGAAAGGAATAGAAGTGCAGGGCTTTTTCACAGCGTTCATCATGTGACTGGAGCTTTCTAATAGCCCCAGTGTTTAGCCACCGAAACATGAGGAGGAAGCTCAGATCGGTGATAGGAATTCACAATGGAGCCTGTTTTTTTTTTTCCTCTCTAAACACATTTATGTGAGAGAGGGAATACTTTAGGGGCTTGTGGCCTTAAAAAACCTTACAGTGAGATTTTGGCTCCTTTGAAGCAAAGCGAACTTGGGTGTCTTGGTTCAAAAATCTTGCAGGCGGAAATGGGTTTAATTACTAGGCTCTTTAAATGAAAGTTGGCAGGACTGTAGTGACTGGGAATAACAGGTGTGTTTTATCTGATGAACGTTGATGTTGATTAATGAGGAAATGCCATAGTAGGTCACCGGATGCGTTGACACTAGATGGCGCTGTCGTCATCGATATTGCTGTTTGCTTTTTTCACTTGTCCTACATTTCCAGTAGACCTGCCTCACTACAGTTAAGTATTTTACAACACCAAATCATTCCAAAATTAAAGACTTTGCATTAATTTAGCAGTTTCAGAACATTGCAAGTACATTTAAACAAGACTTTTAACTGAAATTATGATAATTCATAAAATGCAACTCAAATAAATGATAACACTTTTATTGTAAGTTTCAATTCCCATTATTAACTTTAGGGTTCTCACACTTCTTGAAAGTACTTAAAAGTACTTGAATCTCATACTTAAGGATTCAAGCCCTGGAAAGCACTTAAAACAAACACAGATCTGTGAAAGTACTTGAATTAAATTTGAAATTCAATTTGTTTATGGTTTTATTTTAGCAATTTTCAAAAACAGAACAAAAAAACAGAAATCCTTAAATTAAAAATCTTACACTTTAATTTTGTGCAATAACACTGACAAATAAGGCACATTTTAACAATATTTCAGTAACCACATTTGAACGATCACTTTTTACAGTGTGGCATAGATCAAGTTTACTGTTTCTTGCACAGATCAAATATTTTGCCACAGGTGATAATTTTATGGGACTTTCAAAGTGCCATTAGCCACAGTAATTGTAAGAATCATCAAGAGCCACAATTTCAGCTAAACATTTCTTTAATGTTCACCAAAAACAACATTTTTGGGGGGTGAACTATGCTCATATAGTATGATGTTTTCTTTTAATATTTGCTAGTAAATACATTTCATGAAATTTAGTACACTTGATTTTATAAAAAATAATATATTATTTGAGAATAAAGGGATTGTGGAGTGACATTAGAAAAAGTATCTGCTTTGGACTGTAAATTGTATTTATATATAAAAAATAAACTGCTGTCTAGAGGAAGGATGCATTAAATGAATCAAAGTGAATTTTATATTCATCAATTCTCACCAGTATATTATTACAATATTTCTGAAGAATAATGAGACACTGAAGGCTGTAATAATGTTGATTTATGATATATTCACTTAGAAAGCAGTTACTTTAAGGTTGTAAAAATAGTTCACATCAGTGCATTATTATTGAATTAAATGTGGCCTTGGTGAGCATAAAAGGCTTTTTAAAACATTTTAAAACATCTTTTTTTGAATGTCATTATATTAACATTTACTTCAGAATGTTGTGATCATCCAATCAGAATCAGGTATTGTGTAGAGTGTTTTCAAGTGTGTCGGTTTAATTAACATAACCTTTCCTTACACCTGCTGCCGTTATTATACAGTAAGTTCACTATTGTTTTCATTCACCCGTACAAACATTTTTAACATTAAAGATTCATCATACTTACAGTTTTATGTCTGTTCACTGTTTCGAAGTTAATAGAGTCACGGAAATGAACTGTAATTTAGCTGATGTAGTAATTCACAGGCTGTGTGAAGAGCTAATA